AGTTGCCTCGGCTCGGGAACTTGGGTACGATTGGGGAAGGTCAGCTATGAGCACCCCCGTTCGCCCGATCAAAGATCGGCCTCTACTAACTATGATATCTTGTTTTGAAAACATTATATGCTCTTATTCCGGTTATTAGCCTAAAATTACTATGTTATGCGCACAGCAAACAAGTATAGACTAAGTCGCCTAAATTGGAACAAAACATTGCATGTTTGTTTTGAAAATGGTTTGCTACTCGCAAGTAGGCTAAAATGCAGGTTTTGCCACCCTCAAGTGGGCTTTAGAAAAGATGGTTTTGCCACTTCCAAGTGGGCTTAAGACTCGCATTCAATGCATTGTTCCAATTCAAATAACCCAACCTTCACCCACAGGCATTCATGCAGTTACATCACATAAGCATTTAGCCACATGGTAAGCATGCTGTCATGTTAACATTCACACTCATGCGAGATGCTAAAGCATAAATACTCACCTAGTACTCCGCGCCAAAACAATGAACTAGTTAGTAATCATGCATGATCCTAATTCATGTTAAAATGACTAATGCATCACATGCAAGATGCAACTACAATAGGCTCGGCTATTCTAAGATGGCATATGATGATGCTACAACTAACACGTATTCAACTCAGAATTGAAATACAATGCAGTTAGTATGATGCGCCGAGCCCGGTGCATGCAAGACAAATGTATGAATGCACGCATGCATGGCATAAGGTATGCTAATTTAAATATGCCCTAATACTAACCATTGAAAGCAGGTAAGTAAAAGAGAGAAAGAAGTGGGGGTTGGGAGACATGCACACACGCACCCACACTTATTACAAATTCGCCCTCGCTCGGTGGGACCGAAAGAATAATACAATTAATTAACCTACAAGCTAATTGATTATTACAGACAAATTAAACTAGTTAAGCAAATTAACTAATCTAATAAGACAGTAAAACCAGCCTCGGGAAGAGGGCCCAATGCATGCGCGCTCGGTTCCGCTCGGAAACCCACCACCATGCACAAGTTGCCTCTGTTTTCCCTGCTCTGCTCCTCTGAAGACTGCCAAAGTCCCAGGGTTGCTTCTTTGAGTGCTGTGGGACACCACCGGCTGAGGGGGAACACCACCGGCCAAGAGAAATGATCACCGACCACAAATTGGTCCATCGACCAACAATGGATGGCCGGTCGGCACTGTATTTAGTCGACCGGCCAAAACTTCCTGCAGAACCTGTTTTTGACAGTAGCAGAGGGCAAAACTTGGCATGGCAATGCATTTTAAGCAAATGTATGCACCAACACATCCCTTATCACGTTCATGACTCAAAAGGACATGGTTCTCGATTCTCGGACCATCAATCGCGCGTTTCAATGCGTGATGGCCCAAGAAACCAAGTTGTGCATTTTCAATGTGGAGTGAAATGCACATAAACAAACAATGGGGCTCAACCTCTATCACAATCAATTCAAGAGGTTAAGCATGCGTGCCAATGTGATGCAACCTAGGCATGTGAGCTAGCATGCAATCATGGAAATGCAAAGAAGCATACGAGGCCTACAATGATCATGCAAGGCATGCAAGGCATGAAGCAATGCAACCAACAAGTATGTAAGACACAATGTGGGTTTTCAAGCATGCAAGCAAACATGTGACTTCATTCAATCATGCAGCTTCAATCATGCAACAACACACAAATATGCAACAACATACAAGGAGAGCATGCAACAATATGCAAATGAGGGACTTACACTAATTGGACAGCTCTATACTAAGCCCAAAACAGTGGCCAAAAGCTAAGGAAGTGGAACCAAATACACATACAAGCATGCATATAAACATGGTCCATCACTTAGGCACAAAGAGAAACTCTCAAGCACACTTAAGAAGATGCAAACATGGACTAATGGCATGCACATAAGCTCTGAAAATCATGTTAGAAATGGTTTCAAACCAACTAAACAAAGACAAGCCAAGCATGCAACATGGTCCGAAACTCAAGGCTAACAAGCCAAAATGTAAGGTAGCTATACAAAGCATGCCATGGTTGACCAAAGCAACCCAAAACAGACTTCAAGCATACCAAAACAAGCATGGAAGCTTCACAAAGCTTGGCCAAAAACATGCTAGAACAAGGGCTCAAAGCATAAGACATGTTAAGGCTAAATAATGGCATTACAAGACATGTATGCAAGGCATGCAAGGTGTGTCTAAACCAACTTAACAAAATGCTATATCATGGCAATATAAGCACAAAAATTAGTTAAGGCATGATCAACATGAACCTAAACTAGATGCTCCCTCAAGAGGCAAAAATGGCCCTTTTCAAGGACAACAAGGAGAGGGGGTGGCCCTCTCCTTCTTAGGACCTTAAGGCACCATCCTCACCACTGAAATCCCTCAAGATTTCAGTGGTGAGGAGGCCCAAACACAATGGTCCCGGAGCTCACCAAAAATGGCACAAAATGGGGCCAAACAAGGCTTAAGAGGGGTCAAGCAGCCTCAAAGCTCAAAACACTCTTAATCAACTATTTAGAGTAGACAAAAACAAGACTTTTGTATGTTATACACCAAGTCTAAAAATAGTTGCAAGGTAGTCAAAAAAGCTATGCAAAAATGGGGTAAAAAGAGCAAGAATGTTACCCTTGAAGACCCTCTTCACAAATGGTGGACCAGCTGCTTCTTGGAGCTCAAAACCACCTAAGAACACGAAGGAAAGACCTCTGGCCCCTCAGCAACCAAGAAAAGGTGTAATACTATGTGTTTGTGTACAAAAGTAAGACTAAACACACACAAAGAGTGCAAGAGAGGGAGATATAGAGATGGAATAGATACACTACCCAAACCCTAATATCAGAGCTCTCTCTGAAAATTTTGTAACCCTAATGGAGGGAGAAGAGCCTCCCTCTTATAGACAATCCCATCTTGTAAAGCTTCCAAGGCAAGCTAATAAGAGGGAGATCCCTCCATACACGTGTATGGAGGGGAGCAAAGTGTACGCTAGCTAGCACAGCTGGCATAAAAATATCTGCAAAAGCAGATGCACAGTAGTCGGCCGGCCAAAAATGCAATTTGACCAAAATAAATGGCCGGTCGACCATCTAGAGTGTCGGTCAGCCAAACATTTGGCCGATGGCAACAAAACAAAGCTGGTGGCCTCAAGCCATGGCCGGTGGAGTGTGAGGATGGCCAACAAGCCATTCCCTGCCCTCCAAAGCAAAAACACAAGTGGTTGGTGCAAAACCAAACACAAAACAGTCGAGTCGAGAGATCCTGAGATAAGGCGCGTAGCCGAGACCTCCGAGAACTCAAGACGAACACAAACAAGGATGATCACCGAGTGTTCAAACGGTGACGTCCAAGTCTTGAGGACGGTCAAAAATAGGGTGTCTACACTTAGCTTAGCTCTTATTCATTCGGACCCTCCTTCAAGAGGGAAAATCTTGTAATAAGTGTGCGTGCGTGTGTGCATGTCTTCCAACCTCACTTCTTTCTCCCTTTTACTTATCCGCTTTCAGTGGTCAGATTAGGGCATATTTTGATTAGCATAACTTATGCTTGCATGCGTGCATCATTCATTTGTACTGCATGCACCGGGCTTGGCGCATCATTCAAACTGCATTGTATTTCAATACTTATTTGAATACATGTATCAATTGTTGCATTCATATGTCATGATTAGATAGCCAAGCCTATTTAGTTACATTTTGCACGTGTTGCATTAGGCATTTTGTATAGTTAGGAGCATGCATGGTTTTCTAACTAGTTTTTTATTTTGGCTCGGAGTACACTGTAAGTGTTTACGCTTTAACATCCTTGCATAAGTGTGAGTGTTGCCATGACAGCATGCTTGCCATAAGGCTATTTGCTTAATTGATATAACTACTTGAATGCCTGTGGATGGAGGCTTGATTGCCAGAATTGGAACAATTCGATAAATGTGAGTTTTAAGCCCATTTGAGGATGGCAAATCATGTTTTAAGCCCACTTGAGAGTAGCAAATTCACGCTTTAGCCTACTTGTGAGTAGCACTTTCAAACCATTTTTGAAAAACAAACATTAGTTGTTTTGTTCCAATCCTCGCGATTTAGTCTATACTTGTGTGTTGTGCGCATCACATAGTAAAGGTAGATTAATAATCAGAACAAGAACACATGTGTTTTTAAAACAACATATCATGAGTAGTAGAGGCCGATCCTTTGATCGAGTGAGCAAGGGTGCTCATTGCAGGACCTTCCCCTCTCGTACCCAAGTTCCCGAGCCGAGGCAATTTTGGTGATGACGGACACGTGGCCTTTGGCACAAGTCAGGGTTTCCTAAATTTCTCGAAAATAAAATATTTAGATGGCGACTTTGAAATTTGGCAAAGCAGTTCATGATTGGCGCTTTTTGATTAAAATCGATTTTCCAAAACGATTTGCTGGATTTGGACTCTTTGGTGATTTATCAGTCTTACATTGCACTTTGTGAGATTAGATTCAAAACCGTGACAGGAGTCCAAACTGTAGTAGCTAGAACCCAATTCGCGCCTTCTCCGAAAAGGGGAGCGCACGGAGAGAGTTTGGGCGGTCTACACATATGTTACTATTTGCGACGGCATTTTATTGTCGCCAATAATGTGTAAAAATAGAGACTTTTTTGCAATGGCACTGTTTTATCGTCGCCAAAAATATTATTTGAGACGATAGAAATTGCCGTCGCAAATTTTTTTTTATTTTTTTATTTTTTTGCAATGGCATATTTCTTTTTGCGACGACATTGATTATGTCAGAAAAAAAGGTTTTTGATTTTTTGCGACGGTGTGGTGCCGTCGCAAAAAATGCAATATTTATTAAAAATTATAAAATACTTGTTTTTTGCGACGGTTTGGTGCCGTCGAAAAAAAAAAAAACTAAAAAACCTGCTGTAAATTAATTAAAAATATTAAAATTACCTATATTCAATGAAAAACAATTCAAAAAAAACCAATAATTGCATAATAATATAAAAATTCTTGTATAGAAATAATAATTTCTCCATAATAAACATATTCTTGCATTCATAACTATACATCCACAAAATTAACCCAGTACATAATGTTCCATAATACATATATAATGTTTAAATACAAAATGTTATTCATAATTCAAAATAACATAAATCAAAATTAAAAGTTTTCCTCAGCATTCTCCGTGGTACAAAAACAAAAATTAGTGGCATTCTTCACAAGCATGAAATCCACAAGAAGCAAACTCCTACTCCGGAAATATCTGAAAAAAAAATAAAAATAATTAATAACAATATAATTATGTGTTAATATGTTAATTAAAACAAAAAAAAAACATAAAAATTTAACTACTATACAATTAGAAAGATAATTAAGTAAATAATTGTGCCTATACCGAAATCCGACTCTAACTCCCAAATCGGGAACCCAATTTGAGTCTCGTCTTCTCCCACAAGTCTCTCGTGCCAAGACGGCCGTGTGTGCCATGTTTCGTGCTAATCCGACGCTGTTTGGTGATTTTAGGGCATTAACACATTAAATTCTAAGTTTTTTAAAGAACTAGTTTACTTGAAGTGAAATTCAGCTCTAACTCCCAAACCGAGAACCCGATTCGAGTTCCGTCTTCTCCCACAAGTCCCTCGTGCCAAAGAGGTCGCGTGTGCCAAGTTTCATGCTAATCCGACGCCGTTTGGTGATTTTGGGACGCTAACACCTCGAATTCTAAGTTTTTTAAAAAACTAGTTTACTTAAAGTGAAATCCAGCTCTAACTTCCAAACCGGAAACCCGATGCGAGTCCCATCTTCTGCCACAAGTCTCCCATGCCATGGCGGTCGTGTGTGCCAAGTTTCATGTTAATCCGATGCCGTTTGGAGATTTTGGGGTGTTAACACCCCGAATTCTGAGTTTTTTAAAGAACTAGTTTGCCTATAGTGAAATTTGGCTCTAACTCCCAAACCGGAAACCCAATTCGAGTCCCACCTTCTCCCACAAGTCTCTCGTGCCAAGGCGGTCGTGTGTGCCAAGTTTTGTGATAATCCGACGCCGTTTGGTAATTTTGAGGTGTTAACACCTCGAATTCTAAGTTTCTTCAGAAACTAATTTGTCTATAGTGAAATCCGGCTCTAAATCCCAAATCGGGAACCCGATGCGAGTCTCGTATTCTCTCACAAGTCTCCCGTGCCAAGACGGTCGTGTGTGCGAAGTTTCATGCTAATTCGACGCCATTTGGTGATTTTTTGGGCATTAACACCTTGAATTCTTGGTTTTTTAAAGAACTAATTTACCTAAAGTGAAATCCGGCTCTAACTCTCAAACCGGAAACCCGATGCGAGTCCCGTCTTCTCCCACAAGTCTCCTGTGCCAAGGCGGTCGTGTGTGCCAAGTTTCGTGCTAACAATGGAAAATCCTATGTCTTTTTTCTAATTATGGAATTAGCCTCTATCATATTTGGCTATGTACAGTTAATGTATGGTTATTATTAGCTTAGAATGCAAAGATACATTTTATACTTGATCTTTTGGTGGTGGTATATATGGAGTCTCATCTCCAGCAGATTCTCTTAATACCCGGTGGCCGCTCGATGCATCAGGAGCCTATGACAGTCCATACATAATGTGTTAATCATATTCGAATTTTATTATATATATATGTGTATATATGTTGTGTGAAAATTTAACTATCAAACAATTTAATTTATATCAAACAATTTAATTTATTTTGAACTACACATTTCAAAACCGTGTCATTTAGCCATTTAGAAATTCCAATTCAAACTTTGAAGAGTATTGTGACAAAACTCAAAATTGAAAACTTTGCGTGCATAATGCCTTCTAGTTATAGCATATGTCACCACCAGATTAATGGAGATCAACCATAACAAAAATCCAAATTAAGTAAAATTTGCATAAGTGAACTTACAATTATTGGTTCTTCTATGCCAAGCATTCCAGCATTATTGACTAACATTTCACCATATTCTCCAATGCACCAAACGGCCACTCGATGAAGACTTTCTTGAGAAAGATACCAAAACAATTTTCCACTTAACTATTCAAGGTGATGGAACTTCTGCAACAATCTCTTATCCTAATACAGAAAAAAAAAAAAAAAAAAAAAAAAAAAAAAAAAAAAGTTGAAGTACCTGATCACCTGATGTTTGGACTGCTTTGTAGAGAGACCGTACAGTATATCCATGGACGTTAGAAGCATTGCTTATCACAACAATTAGGGCATGCCATACTTCATCCTTTACAAAACTTCATGCCTACTAAGCATATCATAAAGATCAGTACCTTTTACCAAATGAGCCAAAAATTACATCAAAGAAAACTAAAGGTACACATTCTAGACAACATGGCATGAGAAAATTTTCCAATAAGAAAGAAAACTGTTGAGCAGCAGCACCACCAGTGTGTTGCAGAATTATATATATAATCAAGCTACACATATGCAGGTTCAATGTGAAATCATATAGAAAATACAAACAATTAGATCCAGAAGATGATACAAAAACAATTTTGGTAAGCATGATCATTGACAATTGCATATTCTGTAGTATGTCAGTGGGCCCTCCATTACCTCAAGTCACTATGTAATAACAAAGCATCACATGAGCATCTGAAAGTAAAGATAAATGCAATCTAGAACTACAATACCAGGAGCATTTAGTACAGCTCACTTGTGCCTTACAAATTGTACAGAGGCTGCCATGCCACAGATACATCATCCGGCAAATGCCACGCTACTATAAATAGTTTAGTAGGCCTCTGCACTCTATATGCTACAGACTGCAACACAGGCATTTCAAAAGGGGAACCCTGACAAGTATTTTCTCACTTAACTAGAACACCCCGCCATTTGACATTTTATTTCCACATGACCAATTTTAATTCATTGGCACTAAGAAAATTTTATAGAAAGCCTACTATAAGGCCAACCACTCCATATGATACTATAATTCCTGGCAGTAAGAAAACATGGCATGCATATAATTAACGATTAAAAGGATAACAAAAAAAACTAGGAAAATAAACAATCAAAACTGAATCCATGTGTAACAACTAATAAATTAGCCACAAGATGTGAGAAAGCCTTTGAAGATGATCATGTTATGGCAAAGGCACCACAACATGGTGGCTAAATACATTACAAAAACTCACTAATAAACTATATTGTTTTTAACATGGACCAGATAAATTTTTTCAATAATGTTCCAATTTTTTTTTTCTTTTTTGAACTACAATAATGTTAGAGTGATCATCTTTTTTTCCCACAATTTGTAAGATATAAAAAAATTTAGCAAAAGCATACATATAAAATGGAGATTTTGCAGAAGGTTGGAGGGGCCAGGACACCCCCTGACCCCCCCTGCCTCTGCCCCTGATTACATATACAGCTTATTGTCTACACCATGGTCAAGTTACCTTTCTAAAATATTCAAGAGCCTCTGCACGGGTTGTTCATAGATCTATGCAGAGCTGGAGTCCTGTTATTAAAACTCCATGGTGCTTTTCCTGAAGTAAGCCAGCAGTAGGGTTTATTAAATTTTCTGCCAGGTCCGGGACTTTCTTATAATCCTAATAAAGCACAGTGCTGCCTGCATTACATGATGAATTGAGTACACAACTACAATAAACATAAAAGATAGGAGAGGAGAAGAGAAGCATTTTCCATAATTAATTATGCAGAATTTTTATGCCAGTTGCATGTTGACATATGTGTCATAATGTAATGGAAACTAAAAACACTTCATTGCACCATGCACAGCTGAATATCAATTTCCATATGAGAATTACATGGATCTAGACCTTATGACAATACCTAACTACATAGACATACCACAAGAAGCCTTCAAATGAAGCATGACTTTAGCGGAATATTCATATTGCATATATAACTCAAATCAACATGATAATTTAACTACTAGATTTCTTATGGCGAAAAAATCTGACATTCAAAAGAGAGAATCATAAGCACGCAGGAATGTCAAAGATGGATATAACTGTTGATCTCTCCAAGATATTAATGTAAGAACATTAATATGCAGCTAAAAAAACTAAAAACTAAATTTGCTAAAAAAAAAGCAAATTTAAATATTCGGCTAAATATGCAGCTAACAGAGTGATTGTGAGCAACTCACCAAAATTGAACGGGCCTTAAAATAATGTTTTTGAGTTTTTTTTTTTTATTTAGTTATTCTAAGTTTTTAAATAAATTAAATAATTTTTTTTTTACTTTTAAATTCAAATAATTTACATATATTTAGAAGGAAAATATTTTTTAAAACATTTCAAAGGTTCAAAGGTTCTGCTTTTTTTTACAGCTGATGGAACATCTAGATCAAGCCTCTCTATAAGCTCACCAGCCTAAAGGACAAGTGGTTCTTAATCACTACTAAGAACAGAAAACATAAAACCTCCTATGTATGATATAATTTACCTGCATTGCTTGACCTTCAGACATCAAAAAATGGATAATTCCAGAAGCAAGTGAAAGAAGTGGCACATCTTCATAACCTCACCCTCCACAAAAGGTATGTCAGCCTCAACATCAATCAAATTAATGAATGCTAACTTTGAATGCCATAAATGGCCAAGGTGAACCTCACAAATGAAGGGCTCATAAATCAAGAGCTATATTTTCTAATTGATTATGACAAGTGAAAAAAACTACACCATGTGTAAATATTATCTTGTGCCAACAATAAATGAACAAAAACTCTTACATTAAGAAGGAAATGCACACAAAGGTAAAAAAATTCACTCAACCAGTGTTGGAGCATAATAATGTCACCATCCAAAATGACTCTTTCACACACCCAGCACTTATGCGGCAAGCATATTAATAAAAGAGAAATTTTTTTATTTTTTATTTTTGCATGTTTGATTCCACAACTATCCTCAACAGGGAGCAGCTGTGCCGCTAGGAGAACATTTGACCTATTTAATACCACAACCCCTGTTATGCATGGGTAAATCTAGGACAACATTTGGCAACAAGGATAGTAGTTAAAAAGGACTTAGATCACAGACACATGGGACATATCAACCAAAACTAAAAGGAGTAAAAATAATGGTTTTAAGTCAAAGGCATCCAAATTAATGAATAAATAAAAGATTAAGGCCATACATTTTTCAACACGACATAAATTTACCAGTAAAATTCATAGACACTCGATGATATTTGGAAGTTGTATCATCCCTCAGGCCTATTGGCCATCACCATTAATTCTTCACGAGGAGAATACATATATGACCAAAAAGACCATTACCTTGACTTTAAGTGCTCTCGCTTTTTCAAAGCTTACTGAAAACTACATACATACACGGGTGATCCTATTGTCTTTATTTGTGTGTACTTGTGTGTATATATACACTACATATTCTTAGGCATTGTTTAGTATTAATTTTTTTAAAAGTCAAGTAATTTAAAAAGTGATCAGAAAATAAAGTATACTGTCTAAATCTAAATTTAGTACATAGTGAGTCATGTTATCTACACACTTAAATTTTTATTAATTTTTGAATTAAATTTCTGACTCTAACATTGTTATTTAATGAAGTATACTTGTCTCTATTATTTCAAAAAATAAAATGTTTTTATATAATAAGTGCATTTGCATTGGTGAATGCCAAAATAACAATGTCGAACCTCTAATTTGACATTGTACGATGTCAAAGTATCGAAGTTTGGAAATATTACTCCACACATGTAAAAACTATTTTGGCACAAGGGCTAATCAAAAATATTAGTTGTTGCTCTCTCTTAAAACTCCCTACAACTAAGCATTGATCTCACTATCTCACACCATTGATCTCACTTTCACAGGATTCACTAGAAGGCCATCACACAATATATCCCTAAAAAAAACCATCACTATATCCCATCATCAAGCCTCCTCTCTCTCCCTCACGACTTTCATCTTATATGATCCCCATCCCCTCTCACCCATCCCTCTCTCTTCCTCTCTTTCTGATTTACATGTTCAACTTTCAACAATCCATATACATTCTACTTCGTCTCAATTATCAAGCTTAGGAAAGTGTTACATAGAGCTTATGGCTCCAATATTTTTTTTATCGGCAAAATGAAATTTTATTTAATGAAAATCCAAGTGCATCTTCTAAGGAAACATATATAACACATATATATATATATATATATATATATATAGAGAGAGAGAGAGAGAACATACCTTGGCTAGTGCCCCAATAGAGAGGAGCGCTTGAGATTGACTGAGCTCACGCGAGAGAAAGATAGAGACGCCGCACCACCGCTAGCCGTAATACGCCGTCACCGCACCACCGCTAGCCGTCGCCGCTCATCGAGAGAGAAATTGTCGGTGAACACTCGAGCTTGTTTGGGGATTTTGGGGATTTTGGGGAAAAATATCTTCTTTCAAAGTTTTAGGGATTTTGGATCAACATGATCGAGCGCCAAACAATAGGAGAAGCGGGACAAAAAAATTTCACTACTTTTTGCGACGGTATATTTAATCCGTCACAAATGATAAATAAAAATAAGTAAAACGACGCCGTTTTAATAAGGGTTTTTTGCGACGGACATTTGCCGTCACAAATTGTCCACTATTTGCGACAGTACACAAGGCGTCGCGAATATTTCCTTATTTATCACACCTTTTCATGTATGTTTATTAGCAACGGGGTAACTACCGTCACAAAAGATCATTTTTTGCGATGGGAAAAGCGCCGTCGCAAAAAGTTTCGTGTTTTATAAGGACTTTTCTTGTAGTGTCTCAAATAAAAGAGAAGGAGAAGTAAGAACAAAACCTAAATTCTCTAATTACTTAAGAACAAGAGATAACTCTTACTAAGACCTCTAAAAAGCTACCAAGGATTTATGGAAGACCACCAAAGTAAGACCTACAAGTGATTGACATGGATGTCAAAATTTCACTAAGATTTGTAGTAGACTACTAAGCGAAGATTTACAAACAAGTTCTACTCCAAACCAATGAATAATGATCTTCCAAGATTAAGAAATAAAGATCATCAAGTACGGAGAAACTTGCAGCCAAACTTTTGAAGAAGCCAATGGCCTCTCTCCAAAAAGAACTAATAAGTTCAATCAAAGGAGACAATCTCCACAATTTTTTTAGCCAAAGAGTCCTTCAAAGCTAATAAAAAAATGATTTTTTTTGCAATTCAATCCAAATCAAATAAGGAAACACCTAAAACAAAGATTTAGGCCATCGATGTTATTCAAACTACCATTACTAAGACAATGAGACCTTGGTTCGTCAAAATTTTGAGTGAAAAAATAATTTAATAGGAAAACATATATCTTTATCATTATGATATAGAGCACACCATCACAAGAGGTCTATTAATACAAAGGTCATGCACAAGATGTAATATTGAAAGGATATAGTAATATAATGATAAACAATTAATTCTACACTCGATGGTGAAAGCAATGAGATTAATTCCTATTATATAGTCAAAAGATTCTTGAAAAATATCACTAATTCATTCTCTCATTCAGATTCAGAAATTACTTCTAACTCGCTATTGAAAGTTCTCCCACCCATTGTTTCCATCGTTGGCATTGGTTTTGTGGAGGCAAATGGACTGGAAGGAACTGTTAGAGTGTCTCCATCTCCTTCTAACATTTGCACCGCAACTTTCATCGATGGGCGGTCCACTGGATACCATTGTATGCACCAAAGTCCCACAATTGTTAGTTTCTTTATAATTTTTGCATCCCCATCTTCCTCAATTTGAATTCCCAGATCTTCTTCTTGATCCAAACGTTTGTATATCCATTCTGGAAAGTAACACTCACTCATGTTCTGTGTTAATGTATTTTGCCTCCCTCCAACCATATCTAGCAACAACATCCCAAAACTATAAACATCTGATTTGTATGACACATTCCCAAAGTTCCTGGAGAACACTTCAGGTGCAATGTAGCCCACAGTCCCCCTAGCAGTAGTCATGGATACAGCACTTTGTTCCTTTGAACACAATTTTGCTAGACCAAAATCAGAGATCTTTGGATTAAACTTGTCGTCCAACAAGACGTTATGAGGCTTAATATCGAAGTGCAAGATTCGTTGATCACACCCAAGGTGAAGATATTCAATTCCTTTAGCTATGCCAAGAGCTATATCTTGTAGCTTCTTCCAACCAAGTGAACGCTTCTCTTTATCAGAGGATATAAACTTTTCAAGCGAATTGTTTGGTAAGAACTCGTAAAGGAGAGCTCTTCTGAATCCATCAGCACAGTATCCCACCAAGCGAACCACATTGATATGGTGGATTCTACCCATTGTTTGCACTTCATTAATGAACTCATCCCCATTTCCTTTCACATTGTTGAGGATCTTGACTGCAACATGAATATCATTGGAAAGCTTTCCCTTGTATACTATTCCGTAACCTCCTTGGCCTACTTTGTCTTGAAATTGATTTGTTATTTTCTTGATATCTGCGTAAGAGTATCTTGCAGGCTTGAGAGCTTTGTAATCCTCTAAAAATTTGGCAATCTTTACTTGATCCTCTTTCTTCATTTTGTTTGATCTATAGACATGATATATTGCAATGACAACTACAACAAGAAGAGTTAGACCTAGGACTGCCCCTGCAATTATAATAGACCATGTTAGTAATTTCTACCTCCCCATTGACAATTGAAATTAAGACAGGATGAACCACTTCACCTGCAATCTCTAGTTTCGTCAATGCACCTGTAAAAGTTTAAAGATTTCTTAAAATATATATACATATATACATAATTAAAAATTTTACCTTAGATTCATAATAAACTAAGGAAAAGAAATTGACATGATATAATCAGATATCCAAACAGGGTTAAAACCTTCTCATATACAAGTCTAACTATATTGGCAATTAACATATGCCTAATCAAGTTTGGACCTCAACACATGCTCCATTAGGTGCACAACTTCTAACAAAAAAGCGCACAACCTAATCTATAGGGCAATACTTTATCATACAATCAACAAAGCTAAGTAATTTAATAGATCAAAACAAAATAAAACTAGGGCATTGAAGCTAAAATGATCTTGTAGCCAAAGGGCGTTGGATTGAATTTTTTATGTGGATATACTCTTCAGTTGTAAATAGGTAAACAAAATCTAAACCATTATAAATTGCAAAAATATTGACGTTGCGTACATCCAAAACTCATTTTGGATGTCCAATTCAATTGCCCGAATTGGAAAGAAGCTCTGCCTGAATTTCAATTCAAAATTGTGGTGGAAGCCAATATCAGTGTAAAGGTTAAAGCAATAATTACACATGAGACGAGATGGTTAACAAAATATAATAGTCCTAACTTGAAGAAAGAAGGTAGAAACTAGATAGAGCAGAAGTGTACCCATAGATGGTTGTTTGGGCTTGTCAAAGCATTCAGTTGATTCATTTAATAATAATTGGCTACTGCTACTAGTACTGCTACTGCTGCTGTTGCTGCTGTTGTTATTCTTGAATCTACAATACTTACCTTGTGCTTCACAGTTCCCACATATGGGTTTACTCCAATTCAATTGAAGAACATCCAATCTGATGAGGCCAGCACCATAATCAAAATTTTCAGCTGGAAGTGACGTGTTATACATTTTTGTGCAAGATAATTCTGCCATCGACCCATACAATGCAGCATAAACATGGTGACGCCGGTCACTAAGGCAAGCAATCCGCGACCCAGAAAAAAAATATTTTTGATCTAGTGCCTGGGAACAATTGATGAAGCTAACTTGCTGGTCGTGGTAGTAGGAGAAATAGTGTCGGAATTGGAAGGGAGAGGCAGATAAGTTGAGGTTTTGAAGCTGTCGTGGGAAGCATCCATGGGGGTCTGATATATATATGGTCTGAGATTTGTAGTCGATTTTCTTCACAGACACATTCACAGAATTTGGCAGCTGGAGCATAGGGTATTTGCTGTGAGGAATGCAAGAAAGATCAAAGCCAGGACAGTGCACGGGCTGTTTCCCTATAAGCCGGAAAGGGAATCGGATTTCAGGGCCGTGATGTTTACGGCAACTTGTTGGCATGATGCACTCATCATGTTCTTCTGTTCCTCCAACTGTAGCTGCCGCAGCCATTGGTCTTAGTAATATGACTATGAGCAACACAATTCCTTGGAAAATTGCCATCTTAATTAATTAATGGCTATGCAACAGTCTGAAACAAAATGCTAACTACTCTGCCAAGTATATGTGTTGTTTGTCGTGGAAGAATTTGCAAATGGCGATGGAGTTGGGTTAAAAAGACAAATTTTGTACGGAAGGGCCAAAAAAAAAAATCATTAATTTATTAGTAATATTACATATGTAGAAATTATGGAGAAGTACTAATATCCCAAATAATGATCTTATCAACTGTAATAAAATTAAAGGTTTCATTCTAGTATCAAGTATGAACATGTGTGTTATGAATCGATGGACAAATGTAAGTTTTCTTATAATGTTAAAATTACTAAACCTAGCACTTTAAAAAAAACTACTTAGTATATTTTTTTCAAATGTAACACTCCAAAAGTGTAATACTCTAATTTAACATGTTAAAAAATTTCTTAGTACTTTTCTCAAACATAATAACATAACATTCCAAAAAAACTCTTTAGTTTGTTTTTCCCAAACGTAAGATTCTAATGTAACACGCTAAAAAAAAAATTAGTGTACTTTTCTCAAATGTAACAAAGTAACATTCTAAAAACACTCCTTAATGTAATTTTTCTAAACATAATATTTCAATCAATGTAACACACAAAAACTCTTTAGTGTACTTTTCTCAACTGTAATGTTCCAACATAACATACAAAAAAATTTCTTAGTGTACTTTTCTCAAATGTAACAACGTAACATTCTAAAAAAATTCCTTCGTGTATTTTTTCCTAACGTAAAAATCCAATCAATATAACACACAAAAACTTCTTAGTGTACTTTTTCCAAACATAGCACTCTAATATAGCACTCTAATATAACACTTTAATGTAATACCAAAACATCATACTAACAGAAATGTAAATTCTCACGCTCGATAACCAACACTTGAGCTATCAATCCCCCTTCCCCCAAAATAATATTTCACACCTCATCTTTTCATTCCCGTCTAAAAAATAAATCATAAAATTAAAAAAACTGAATCACAAAAAAAAACGTTCACTTAAATTTAAATGTCACAAAACCAAATAAATATAACTTTCTAAAACAAAAAGAACTAATTAGTTTATAAGAAAACTTTTAGAACTAAATGGATCAGCATTCCCTATATGAGATTTATGGATAAATTTTTCAAAAATTATTCAGAAAAAATATCTAAAAAAAACATATTCAAAGAAAAGAAAATAATAAAGAAATGACAAGAAATTAAGGTTCTAGAGGAAAAAAAATAAGGACAAAATCACTTTTTGGAGACCAAACACTTTTATTGTCGTGTCAATATTTTATTTGTAGCGAAAAAATAATAGCAACTCTGATTTAGACCAGACCCGTTGATGTTCTAGATTCGGATTTCATTGTCTTATTTGGTTGTTTATGTCTTGTTTCCCCTCATTCTTCATTAAATTTGGTTATTGGGATGTGTTGGTTGCATTTGGAGCGGGTTGGTTGATTGTTTCAAAACTGTTGATGCCTTGAATTTTGTTCCTTCGCTCGAGCGACACTTCTTGCACTCGAGCGGTTTTGGTGAACCTTTATTTACTTTTGTAGGTCTGAAAAAAATACTAGGAGTGTGTATTCCTCGCTCGAGCGAAGCTTCTTACGCTCGAGCGACGGTTTCCTGTCTGTAAATCTACTGGGAGGGTGCATTCTTCGCTCGAGCGTGATTCCTACGCTCGAGCGATATCACTTTTTGTGTCTGGTCGCTTAAGCGACACTTCTTGCGCTTGAGCGATCTATTCGAATTCAGCAACTATAAAAATCACTGTTGGTCACATATGGGTCACTCTTCTCTCTCTCTTCTCTGTCCTTCCACTATTGTTGAGCTTTCAAGCTTTTTCCACCTAGTTTCCATCAACTTTTATACATCTTTGACCCCTAGTTCCATATACCAAAACGTAGAGCTTGACGAGGGCTTCCATTTGATCTGAGCGGATCGTGTTTTTGTTGAAGTTGGATTTTCGGGCTTCCTCCCCTTCATTGCTTGAGGTAGGGAATCTTTTGCTCCTTTTCAATATTTCGTCTATAGATAGACATGTGGTAGATTTTATTGCATACAAATCACATCTATTGTGGATCTTTTGAAAATCACATAAAAAGTGGATCTAGGGTTTGATCTTTGGGTTTTAAATTGAATAAATTGGTTATTGTGTGATTAATTGGGAAGTGGTTTAATGTGTTTACGGTAAGAGGAAGAGAAAGCCCAGATTTTGATAATTTGACCTAACGAACTGAAAAGGGGTAAAGTTGATTAAAGATTGTGTTTTGATAGTTTGAGTTGTGATTATTGTGCTGTTAGCATAAAGGATGAATAAGTATGGTATTGGAAATTTATGTGGATAATCATTGTTTAGTTGATTTGGATTATAGCTTGGAAAATCCTTTGATGTGATTCTATTGAAATGTGGAAATTTGTTCTTGGAAAATAAAAGAGTTGATTTTGAAAAGAGAAAGAAATCATGGCATACTGAAAATCTAGATTAAAACTGGAGGTTGGGTTTTGAAACTTTTGATTATTGTTATTATTATTGTTGTTAGGCTTAAAGTTAAGGGAGTATCGAATTATTGCATTACATATACTTAAATACTTATGCTTAGAGGTTTTGTCATTGATCATCGGTGGAAGATGACATTGTGATGTTGAATAGCGTTTTGTATATTTAGTACACTCGAATTATGTTTGTTTGTTGAATTATGTGATGGTTGAAAATGTTCACGCGCTAAGAATAAGAGGTATCATTACCTTCCAACTAGCGCCTGCAGAATTGGTTGCGTTGAAAATGTGGGGTACCAGTACCTTCCAACCAGTGCTTGGAGAATTTGGCAAACGTACCATTACCTTCTAGCTGGTGACTAGTAAATTGGCTTGTGTATTGGAAAGGTGTATCATTGGTTTACTGTGCTTGAGGCCGGTAGAGCGTTGTTGGGTTTTTCGTTATCATCATGGTTCCATTTATGTGTATCATTCATTGAGATGATTATTTTGTGGAGGATGTCTGTATCTTAAATGGTTATGTGAGGTGTATTTTATATGTATCGTCGTTATATATGTTCATTTAGGATACTTCTAATCAGAAATTGTGAAGTGAAGTTGGTGTAAGTTCGGGATTCTGAGAAAACATAATTGGGTTCTGTGGGTTAAAATTAAAAAAGGTAACAAGAGTGGTTGCCGCTTAGTAAGTTTAAAATTAAAAAGGTAACAAGAAGAAGGAAAGACGAATGGTTGTGTTGTTGAGCAAATTGAACATTTTCGAGAAAAATATCTATGTAAGTATATCTTCATATATAAACCAACATTTATGTATATGGTGTGACTTAAAGCATTCATAATCCTAACTATCTATATGTTGTTATTGTTTAAGGTCATGTTGAGATCCCTATTGGACTTTATATTCATCCCACGTTGCTAATTCTTTTTCAGGTGAACGTCGAGAAATGTTTCAAGGTCAAGGATCTTAATTATTTGTTGGCCACGGGGCCTTTTAATTGTTGGCCAAATACCATTGTTGTAAAAAGGGGTTGAACCCTTTCTCTTTTAAGTATTGATGTAAGTCTACGGGCAATTTACTGTAATTATGTTTCATGTTGCTTTCGTTGTGTATTCGAATGAGAGAACTCGTACTTAATTGTCTTTATGGATGTACTGAAGTTCTATACGTTACCTCTGAAATTGTATTATAATAAAAGATTTTGTAATGTTACTCGAGTAAAAAAAAGAGGGGCGTTACAAATTGGACATTCAGTAAAAAATTACTATCATTTTGGAATTAAAATTTTGTCTAAAAGGCAAACCTTTCAAAGACTAAATTATTTTGTCCCGAAAAATACACTAATTAGTGACCTTTTGAAATTATTGCTAAAAGTCATTTTTTTGACTTTTTAGAATAACTTTTTGACAATTATCCTTAAGACAACCGATATTGGCGACCAAATATTTTTTGTAATAAAATTTTCACTTTTATGGATAAAAATTTGATGCCTAAAAGTCTTATTCGTTGTTGTGAAATTGGACACACCACACCTAGCCATTCCTACCTCTTACATCAAAAGTTATGGGTTCCAATTTTTTCTACTTTTTATTTTTTAAAATTAGTTTTTGTTGTTTTTTTTGCTTTCGTGTTTTTTTTTTTTTTTTTATTAATTTGCGTCAATTTTGTAGGTCCATCTTCCGTAAAAAGACTTAAAGAGTAAAAAATTCAAAAAATCGCTAAAGACAAAGGAAAAAAAATAGAGTTACATTTATTTAAAACTTTCTATTAAAAAAATAATAAAAAATAAAAACTTTTTTAGCCCCTTTAGTCAAGTAGAACTTTAAAGTGTAAAACTTTTTAAAATATTTATAAATTAAAAAAAAAAATCACTACAAAAAAGGCCAAGGCAAATTTAGCATATTACACTAACATCCCTTTTACTAAGTGTAAAGGGACCAACATTAATGCAGATAAAGTAAAAATACGAAGATAAATAAGGTAAATTATATAGTTTTATATTTTAATATAACAGAGCTAATAATATGTATTATCATTTCTTTATTCATACGATTTATGAATTTATAATGAAAATAGATTGAATGTTATATGAATTAAAATTTAAAAAAAAAAATTCAATTGTGACAACCTTATAAAACTCGTTATATATTATTTTAAAGTTTAAAAAAATTCAATATAATTTTTTTTTTTTTTTTTGGAGCTAAAGTACAACGAATTCCCATGTGCAATTTGTTTTTCGTTTTTTCCTTTTTTTTCTTTTCTAAAGTAGACTGACTAAGTACGATTCTGCTTTGTTTTTATAGTAGACTTGACTTCAACTTGTCACGTAAGTGTGTAGACTTTGTCATTAACCCCCCGATCAAACCGCGTCCAACATTACCACCGAGGGTGGTGGCCTGATGGTGAATGCTTTTCATTCTCCAAACTTGACCCACGTTTGAATTTTGGGAGAGGGGAACAAAGGTTGCTTTGCAATTGATTTTCTGTAGAGATCTCACTCTGATCGAAATTTGGATTTGTCTGTGGCATATAAGGTTGCGCTCCATTAGTGTCTCGGTGGTGGGTCCTTTCGTATGAGTTGGGTTAAATCAGGCTGGCAACCAGTTACTC